CTGGGGGGGTCTGTGGTGAACGTTAATGTGAAAAGTCCTTCAGGTCAGGACGTAGTCATACGACCAGAACAATCACGTTTGTCGTGGGTGTCGCTGCAGCTGCGGCGACTTCCTCTGAAAAAAGAAAAAAAAAAAACGTACGACACCGACGATGACAAACCTTTAAACAACTGTGTTTTATTCCTCACTGATGTTTGGAAAAACAAAAACCAGAACAGTTTACACTATTGCTTTTGTTTTTTTTTTTTTTTTTCATGAACAGAGTCAGGATGTATGTAATGTAAACACTTTGAAATATTCCTACGTTCCAAATATTTTATTAGACAAAAATACAAATGTGCATAATGAAAGTATGAAAGTCTCGTCTTTGGCATGCAGAAAAACCACGATCAGATGGACGTACGTCGACGCCGACATCGAGCACAGACACAGACACGACACCGTCACATTCACTACAGTGATTATATATATGTATATATATATATATAGACCGTATATAAGACACGGACGCAGTAAAGTGCTAGAACCTACACACAGAACCAACCGTACGTATTTCGAACGGACAGCAGGAAGGAAACAGAATGACGCTCCTACAGTCGCTCACTCAGCGTCGTACGCAACAAAAAGTGACATTTAGCTGGACACAAACTAGCCACGTAGAACAGAGGTCCCCAACCCGAGGGTGGCGGGTTAGTACTGGGGTCAGCTGAGACTAGTTAACAAATGTTACTGCACCTTTGTTCGTATCGCAGTACCTACTTTGGAATTTTATTTTGAAAAATAAAAAAATAAAAAAACAATAATTTTTTTAAAAAATTTAAGTTTTTTTGTTTTTTTAAAAATGTATTGTTTATTTTTTATTTATTTAATTTTTATTTATTTTTTATTGACAATGTTTTAGGAGTATTTTTTTTTAAGGAGGAGTATTTTCAAAATAAAAGTCTACGTAAAGCGTTGAAGACCAGCTTGAAAAAAAAAATTTTAAATGATTGTTTATTATTTATTTATTTATTTTTTATTGACGAAGTTTTAGGAGTATTTTCGTTGAAGACGAGTTTCCAGCTTCAAAATAAAAGTCCCATTTTACAGTACTACTTGAAGTACAGTTTTTACCCCCCCTCTGGAGAATATGTGCTATTACCGTTAGGCTGCATTTGACCAATCCGGGTTGGGGACATCTGACGGAGAGGACAAACGAACAACAGTCCGTCCACCGAGGAAGTTACTCAAGGAGAAAATAAAGTGCAGGAACTTGACAACCGTCGTCAGGCTACAGCGTTTCACCTCACTCTTCGGGAAGAACTCTGAATGGATTCGAAGCGTGAGGTGACTCGAAAGAAAATTCCAGTTTTTCTTCTCGTTCCAGTGGCTCAGACGTTCTCAGCAGGGCCCCCTGTGGCACTAGGTCGCAAGGAGGTACGTTCACGATCTTAGCGGGACATCATTCGTACAAACTCTGGGGACAGAGAGAGAGAGAGAGAGAGAGAGAGAGAGAGAGAGAGAGCTGTGGGTGAGCGGAGAGCGACGACGACGACATCGTAAAGTCTGCCGCAAATCCCACTACCTCCAAAGTCCACCAGTCCGTCACCGTTCAGGTCCACGTCCCTCAGGATATCTTCAACTTCCTTCAGACCAACCTAAAAAAAAAAATATATATATATATATAAAAATATATATATATATAATATCAAAATATATATATATATAATATAAAAATATATAAAAATATATATATAATATATAAAAATATATAAATATATATAATATATATATATATATTATACATATGTATACACATTGGCGAAGAAGATGAAATTGTAACGACAAAGTTCCTCCTTTTTTTTTTTAACATTTTCCTAAAAGTAAAAAATGTGATTTTCTGGTGTCGACGCTGGGACTTAAACACTACAACAAAACCCGGAAACACAAACCGCCCGGTCTGTTTACATGAAGAACAGGTTCCATCTCCGCCTTGACTAACGTCACCGGAGCAACGTAGCTGTAAAATAAGTCAGCAGCTGGTGATGTCATCAACACGGCTCCATAGCTCAGGGGTTAGAGCACTGGTCTTGTAAACCAGGGGTCGCGAGTTCAAATCTCGCTGGGGCCTGGATTCGTTTTTGGTGGTTCTTTAATTTCCCCGTTATTATACCTAAGTATCTAGCGCCTCCCAGAGGCAGATCTGTGTAAACACAAAAATTTAGGATAGATTTTTTTTCCTATTTTTATTATTATTATTATGAACAGAAAGAGAATAAAACCCAAAACCATCATCGAGTCTAAAAGCGTAGCGCCACCAACCTCAGACCGACTTCCGTTTCCCGAACTCGTGGCGGACTCACCTGATGACCCAACAGCTTCCTCATGGCGTCCCGGAGCTCGGTGGTGCTGATGGCGCCGTCACCATTGGTGTCAAACTGCAGGAACAGACGAGGAACGTGAGTGACAGTTAACATCGGTTCTTCTTCGTCTTCGGTTCTTCTTCCTCACCTCTCTGAAGGCGTCCTTCAGCTCTTTGATCCCGATCATGTCCGCCGTCTCAGCTAGCAACTTGGGGCCCATCAGCTCCACGAAATCCTCGAAGTCCACGTGCCCCCCCACTGGAAGCAGAGCATTGTTGTGATGACATCACAGCGGACCCCGACGCCCGGCGTCGTGCGCCCGACGGGCGGGTACTCACGGTTCATGTTGATCCGCTGGCTCAGCTCGATCAGTTCCATCTCCGTGGGCATGTAGCCCATGGTCCGCATACAGTTGCCCAGGTCTTTACAGCTGATGAAACCATCCTTGTCTTTGTCGAACTCCTTGAACGCGTCCCGCAGCTCTGTGAGACACATGGGAAGAGTGGTCGGTCATCCGGGCCTTACAGCTGGAAGGTCAGACGTTCGATCCCCAGCTCTAACAGCAGGGGTCGTTTTGTATGGACTTTTGGTTTTAGCATTCACGTTCACTCCGAATGATCGTCTCTCTACCGCTCTCTACTGTTTACATGACGATGATACGGTACGATGACGGCAGCCGTCGGATCGGGAGCGATCACACGGATGTGGTGCAAAAAAAAAAAAATTGAGCCTAAACCCCACACTCCGTCTTCATGTTGTCACCGTGTAAACAGTATACACGTGATGCTGTGATGTTCAAAGTGTAGGGTGCCCTCTGCTGGTGGGTGCTGGGATTGGAATAAAAACTACTCCAGTGGAGGAAACTCACCGTCCATTTCTTCTGGCCGCAGCTCTCTGTCCTGTGAAGAAACGAGACTTGGATCAACATGAGGTTCAGTACACGCCAGTACACGTCTGTGTACGAGGCAGACACAGATGTGCCGCTGAAGACCACATCAACAAAAGATAAATCTGCTCATTTCTCCAGAACACTTCCTGAAATCATGCAGAGTTAAAAATACAGACGTCGCGGCACGGTGGAGCAGTGTAAACAGTGCTGACTGATGACGGTGCGCACCACCTTTAAAGGCCAACCGCAGGCAGACGTGGTTCCAGGGCCTCGGGGGTTAACAGCGCGAATGTGTAAACAGCAGCGTGAACGTTGACGTCAGGCGTCCGTCAGAACCCGCCGCTCAGAGTGCGAAACGCGGGAGGAACTCAAACATGCGACCTCGCGTCTGAACATGTGACCACGACCTGGACCAGTCTCCAGACCGCCGACGCTCCATCATTCCTCCATCAACAACAAATGATGTTGGCGTTAGCGCCGTTAGCACTCCAGCCTTACAACAAAAAAAAGTCAACCGTTCGATTCTCTGTTCTCATGTTCCACAGTAGGTTCATGTTCACTCCAAACTGAACGCTCCATCATTCCTCCAACAACAACAAACGATGTTGGCGTTAGCGCTTTAGCGTCGTTAGCACTTTAGCGCCGTTAGCACGTTAGCGCCGTTAGCACTCCAGCCTTACAACAAAAAAAAGGTAAACCGTTCGATTCTCTGTTCTCCTGTTCCACAGTAGGTTCATGTTCACTCCAAACTGAACGCTCCATTATTCCTCCAACAACAACAAACGATGTTGGCGTTAGCACTTTAGCGCCGTTAGCACTTTAGCACCGTTAGCCCTCCAGCCTTACAACAAAAAAAGGTCAACCGTTCGATTCTCTGTTCTCATGTTGAACATGAGAACAGAGAATCGATCGATTCTCTGTTCTCATGTTGAACATGAGAACAGAGAATCGATCGATTCTCTGTTCTCATGTTCCACAGTAGGTTCAATAACCATTGTCATTATCATCATCATCGTCATCATCGCGATGAAGAGCTCCAGTTTTCCACTCGTTCCTCATCACAGTTTATGTTTGACTGTTCCAGCCAACACCGAGACGCTGTCACCAGGCAGGAGAGTAAACACAGTCAGAAACACAGAGAGGACAACGCCCCCCTCCCCCTCTCCTCCGCCTCCTTCTCCTCCTCCTCCTCCCTTTCTTCCTCCCTCTCCTCCTCCTTCACTGAACTGAACTAAACTAAAAATATATTTTTTTATTTCTTTGTTCTGTGATGTTCTGTGATCCAACAGATGTTGACCTATTGACCTGTTGACCCGTTGACCTGTTGACCTTGTGATGTCAGGTTCTTACCGACCGTGGAGAACTCTCTGCTCCGGAGATTTTTGCGTCTGGAGTTCCGAGAGGCGCGAAGACTCTGGGTTTCGTCAAGACCCATGAAGTCCACAGAGAGAGGGAAGGAGCAGAGGAGCAGACTCTCTCTCCTCCTCCCCCTGTCACCTCCCCCTCCTCCCCCCTCAGCCACACACACCCACTGCTGTTTGCTGTGTCTGCAGGTTCATCACAGTGTGAACATCACAACCTCACCTGCTCTCTCCCCTCTCCCCCCCCCTCTCTGTGGTGACTGTGTAAGTCACAGTGTTGACGAAGCAGCTAACGCCCCCCCCAACCTCACCCATGCACACATCCCACTGTGCCCTCTGCAGGCGGACCAAGGTCACAGTGACCTGCAGCAGAGACAATACTGCAGTACTGTAGTAGTACTGCAGTATTGTCTGTGGTTCGTCTGTACATCTGAACTGAATCCAGATGCCCCTCCCTGCCCCCCATACTCATCTAGCTGTTTCCTGATGTATTTGAACCTGCCCCTCTGTATCTGCCCCCCTGTATCTGCCCCTCTGTAACTGCCCCTCTGGATTGTATCTGCCCCTCCATATCTGCCCCTCTTTATCTGCCCCTCTGTATCTGCCCCTCTGTATCTGCCCCTCTGTATCTGCCCCTCCGTATCTACCCCTCCGTAACTGCCCCTCCGTAACTGCCCTTCTGTATCTGCCCCTCTGAATTTGCCCCTCTGTAACTGCCCCTCCGTATCTGCCCCTCTGTAACTGCTCCTCTGTAACTGCCCCTCTGTATTTGCCCCTGTGTAACTGCCCCTCTGTAACTGCCCCTCTGTATTTGCCCCTCTGTAACTGCCCCAGATCTACTGCTCCAACAGGAAGTGACTGTCTGTAGGAGGCAGCACTGGTTATAGATTACATAAGAGCTGAACGTGTACAGGAGACTGAGAGTATTCGAAGGTAGTATTTGAACGTAGTATTTGAAGGTAGTATTTGAAGGCAGTATTTGAACTGGACACCAGAGTACTAACTGCAGTACTACGGTCATCCAGTGTGTAGTACTGCAGTCACGTCCAGTGATCAGGGTCAGTTTTACTGCTGAGATTATGGTATGATTTAAAGCGGGTCTTCAACGGGTTCAGTGACCCTTGGGGTCGGCTGAGGTACTGCAGGAGGTTAAAAATGTCTTATATTATTATTATTATTATTATTATTAAGGTAGGTTATGACTCTCAGTCGGTAAACTGATCA